TTAAAGTTACGGACATATTTTTATTTTTTTGAACTCAATTACATTAATTTTTATTTCCTAAGGAACCATATTAGCAATTCACATTAGTGTTTCTGCACCGTTTTTGACGAAATGCACTGTGAATCACTAATGGTGCACTGTTTGCACACGAAACTCTAAAACTTATAAACTTAATACTTTTGGTCTAGACATGAATTGTTTGGCATATATTGGACTTTCTTATTCTTATTACTTCATTTATTTATTTCTGGACTCCATCAGTTGCTTAAACAACGGTATAAAATATCTGGCAGAAAAACACTATTCACGAGATTTTCACAGAAAGTGCCAGACTATACAATTTTTCGTTCTGAACCCATATCTGGCATCAGAATTGCCAGATTAGGTCTCTTACCTCATTTTGTTCATTACTAAGCTTTACCTATTGCTACACACAGGGCAGAATACCGGCAGAAGGCACTGTTCATGACCTAGTCATGATTACAGTCAATATTCGAAATTATGTTCTGAATCTAATTATAAAATTTAAATCCTTAAATTAAATCTCTAATTAAGATTTACCCGATGGGGGTCATTATAAAGTAATTTTGGTTGATTGTTGATTATTGTATTCTCACCCTTCAATACCCAAGTATCAGCGTACTTTTTTTCTCTTTTTTTCTCTTTTTTTCTTTTTTTTAAGATGTAGTTTATCTCAAGATTATAATTTTATGAACATTGCTTATGAGATGTTTAATGAAAGATCTACAACCTGTTAACGTTTTTTTTCTTCTACTAATTCTGAAATAAGAGTTAGTTTTGATTGATATTCCACATAGAATGGCACTCTGTAAACAGGAATTCAAACATGAAAATTTAATCACATAACAAGTTGATAGAGTCAAATTACCAAGTATTCACAATAAAAACAATTTAGATTATATATGGAACTAAAAGGATTCGAACCTTGTTCATTGGAGAAAGGTGAATTTGTATTTTTAAATGATAGAAAAAGGTAAAAATGGAATGGCAGATTTATTGAAAAAAGAGAACCATTTTTATCAGGGTTTTCTGAAAGAGAATAGAGAGATTTAAAAAAATGAAATACAGGGAAGGCTGTTCTTGGGTTCGACTAGCTGGTACTCCAGGCTATGATAAGAGAATATTGAGAAGAGAGTATAAAGGAAAGAGGAGGAAACTGAGTTCAAGTTTTGGGATTATTGTCCATCTTTCATTATCCATCTTATGTTATCACAGCCCTCCCAAGCAATCCTTGTTGACAAAAGTATCGGCATTATTGTTCCTCGCTTGGGTGGAGAGTGCTATAATATTAAAAATGCTCTTATTGGTATGCTGGAAAAGCTAATGGTGCAACCATTTAAGGATATTGATGGTGAAGGAAGTTCTAAATCCATTTATATCCTTAATAAGCAAGCTATGTTCGAAATTTTTCTTGAGCATTATAGAGATATTTTGGCTTATACAAGAAGTCAAGTTCCTCAAGTATGGCTGAATTATGTAAACAACACTCTATTTTATTTGGTGTATTGAATGAAGTTATGATAGATGTTGCTGAAAGATTGAAAAAAAGCGTGCAATGACCAAAACATCTGCTTTAAATATTTTAATCATGATGCTTTATCGCAAGTTAAAAGAGCATAAGCCTTTTGTCGGAATCATTTCCTTGGAGGAGGAACGATGCCTGGATATTAAATTAACATTGGATGAGTTATGGATGCTGAAGGCTAATGAATTAGTATCACACTTCTTCTCTACAAATAAGGATGACGCAGAAACATTTTCTTATGCTCTATGGAACTTAATTGTTGCTCATAAACTATTTCAAAATCCACCACATCTTGGAGATGAAAGTTTGCAGCTCACACATTTCATATTTTCACCTTGGAAGGATAATATTTTTCCTGTTATATCTTCCTTTTTCCTAAGAAGCCTGCTGCTCCCTGGGGTGTATCATAATGTTGCTTTGTGTGCAACTTTGGTCAGGTATGGCAAACAATTGGTTGAATCTGAAAGAAGATTAATTGTTGATGGACTAAAAAAAGAGATACTTACTCTTATCGAACATGAGGTTAGCTATAAAGAAGTGTCCTTATTGCATTGTTGGAAATATTTTCTCAACCGCTATATTCATAATTTGTGCAAGAATAAAGGATTATTTGGTCTCCTTGTTGATTCCTTTGTTGCTAATGTTGGTTTCATCGCTAAAATTAATGTTTCATGTTCTCTGTCCTTGGAAGATATTGTTTGTTGCTCCAACCCTCTTCATGGAATAATATATTGGTTTTGGTGAAATTGGCTGATATACAAAAATTGAAGAAACTTTTTGTGGACATGTTCTTGTCTCCTCACAGCTTGTACAAGACTTCATGGGAGAACTTTATTATTAGGACAAGAGACTGCATCATTTGGATTAAATGTAACGGTAATGAGTGTATCTCAATAACCAGTCCTTATAGTAGTGTCCCTATAGTAGTGTACTTATAAAAGTGTCTTTATTTTAATTACTTGTTTGTAATATTGTGTTTTTTGTTGTAAAACAACCCTCGTGGGTATAAGTAGGTGTGTAGCCATTAAGAAAGGTTCTCAAAAAATTGTTGGAATTTCTCATCTCTCTCGTGACTCTTTCTCTCTCAATTCCCTCTTCTCCTCCTCTTATCCTTTCTGCATTTCTCTTTTTCTGTAGCATCCGCTACATCAAGCCTAATCTCATTATTAGTTGTGCAGCCATGTGTTCTTTGCCACATGAGGCTGTGAAGTGGTTTGAGAAGATGCCTTCCATCGGGTGTGAACAGGATAACAGCTTAGCCTCTTGTATGATATATGATTATGCTCGCTCTGGTAATGTTGACGTGGCTTTGAACCTATATGAACCGTATAACAATTTAGTCACTGAACCACTTTTATTTATTGAACATAATATTGATAATATAATATTAATTATATATTATTTTGAAATTCAGTTGAATATATTTGAATCACCGACTAGTGACATAGTCGAATTTTATATTGAACCTTGATGCGTAGATGACCGGGTCGAATTTTAACTGTATAATATAGTAAAATTGTTTATAAAATTAGTAAGTAAAAATTATTTACCTTTAAATTTTTATTAAATTAAATTTATAATAATTTTAAATTAAGCACAAAATAAATATACTATTATATATTTATTTTAAAAAAGTTATTTCATAAAATTTCATTAAAAATCTCGCTATTTTACTATAGCAACGGATTTCAAGGCGTAAAGTGATGAAGGTTGGAAATCCAATTGTTACATGTCTCTTTTTGAAAATTTAGTACCTGTTTAGTGTGATGTATAAAGTTTCATAGTATAAGTTTATACTATACATTATGATATTTTTAGTTATTTGGTGTGACTATCGTATAGTATAAGCTTATACAACAGGATCTCGTTATACATTAAAATGATGTATAACTTAATCAAGTCTAAGAGGATAGGATTAGGCCTGATAATGAGTTGATGTATTAATCAATGCAATTCTAAGAATATTATTTTAATATTAGTATATTAAAATAAAAAAAAATTCAATATATAATTTATAAAATATTGGAGATTTTTTATTTTTATAAAAACTAATATATTTTTTGGACACACTGATCAACATATTTCTATAAAAAATAATATCATATGACATATTTGAAAGAATTATGTAAATTCATTATTAAAAGATATTTTTGACAAAAATATTATTTTTAACCTATCTAGTATTTACAGTATATTACCAAATGGATGATATTTTCTTATAAAATATTATTTTATACAATATTATGTCAAAGTTGAATAGTATTAAAATTTAATCAGATCTTATATTATAGTCTTATAATTTCAAACTTTATCCTATATTATACCAAACATGTGCTTAAGGAATAAGGTTTGAAAACTTAAGGACTAAGGTTTCGCTTTGCGATTCAACTTATTCAAATTATTACAGTGGTTACTGTCCCCATTTGTGTCTCATCGGCTTTTGAATCAAGAGTAAATATTCTTTTAGGTTCTAAGTAAATTTTACGATGTTCGTTTTAGTTGTTATCAAATAAAAAGTCTATTTGTGATTTTTAAGAAATTCAAAATAAATTCATTTTAGTCTTTTTGAGGGACTAATTTGGATTTTTTTTTGAATTTGTGAATAACCACAATTTCAACTAAATGAGTTTATTTTGAATTTCTTAGAGACCACGAATAACTTTTTTATTTGCTAGAAACTAAAGCGAGCATCGTAAAATTTGTTTGGAATAAAAAATGATATTTACTTTTGAATTAAAGTGTGATTTAAAGGTTGTTGTGAGTAATGAATCCACCCGTCAAGTTTTGGCTTTAACTGTGCAAAATTAGACCCCGTTGGACATTGACATGGGAGAGAAAATCACATGCGTTGATTTCCTCGAGGAAGATGGTTCTACTTCTAGCTGTAAATCACCTTGAAGATTTTGTGATCCATAATTTGCCGACACTGGAGAATTCATATTGACTATCGCCGGATGTAATTGGTTTTTCCATAAAAACCACATGTTTATTCTTATTTAAAAAGGTGTGTTGTTTTTCATTTTAAATGACATAAGTTATGTCATTTTAGGAAAGAGATAAATACAGAAAAATGAAAATCATGAGAAAGAGAAAGTGGGTGATCTTTTTAATTTAAAATTTAAATAAAAAAATTTATGTGTCTATCTTTTTCTTAAAATGACATAACTTTACGTCATTTAAAATGACAAACACTTTTTTTTATTTAAAAATGGAAAATATGTTTGTTATGTCGTATAAAATTATTTTATTTCACGCAACGCATAAAAAATAGGTAAGATTTATTTTTTTAAATTTATCTTTTTATTATTTAATAGATCTTATCTTTTTAATTAATGCGCGCTAATTGGATCGATTTAGCTTTCGGGATATATACAAAGTTGTGCTCAAATTCTTCCGCAAGACATTCAACTCATCTTCTTCTTTATAGCTATTTTGTCAACCAAGTTAAGTAGAAAGCATGGCCACAATTGCAACTCCGTCAAATGAAAAAGAAGACAAAGTAGTTGCCCTCAAAATTCTGGTGGACAGAGAGAAAAACAAAGTTGTATTTGCTGAGGCAGGGAAGGATTTTGTTGACGCTCTGTTGAGCTTCTTAACATTGCCGATTGGGACTATTGTTAGACTCGTTGGAAATGAGTCAAGTATTCATTCAGTGAGAGTTGGAAGCCTCAGCACATTATATGAAAGTGTGGCAAATCTTGAAGAGAAGCATCTATGGACACCACACTGCAAAGAAATGCTACTCCAGCCACGGAACTCAATGGAAGCTTATTGCCAACAGCTGAAACTGAACATCGATGACACAGAACCAATCAAGTTCTTCGTTTGTGACAAGCACCTGGATTGTAGAAGGAAAAATGGGAGCCTCTTGAGCACTTTCAGGAATCAAAGATGCCGTTGTGGAAAACTAATGAGTGGAGTGATATCCACAAGAAATTTGACCCTAGAAAATGGCTTTGTTGAAGAAACTGCTACTTTTATCATTTCTGACGATCTCTCTGTGTTGCCTAATGATGTTGGAATAAGCGGTCTGCTTCAGAAGCATGGTATCGATAACATGGAGGCTCTTGTAGAACAAACTGTTGATATCAGCAAGGAGGAGGTATGTTTTCTCAGCTTCTATATCATCGTTGCCTTTGATTACTGTTGGGATATATAATCTCACCTCGGTTATATCTGCAACTAATGTGGAGTTTATAAGGTCTTGGGGACTCCCACCTCTTGAGCTAGCTTTTGGAGTGGTGTATCCCAAGGTTCTTTACATGATATCAGAGCCTCGCCCCCCCCCACTTTCTCTTGTGACGTGCATTGTCTACTCTTCAAGTCCAATGGTCTCTCGTGTGAGGATGCGTGTTGAGATATATAGTCTCACATTAGTTATATGTGCAACTAATGTGGAGTTTATTAAGGCCTTGGACACTCCCACCTCTTGAGCTAGCTTGTAGAGTGGTGTATGCGAAGGTTGTTTACAATTACTATTTATTTTCTCTTGTTAATAGGACATCTTTGATTTGTGTAGGTAGTGGATCTGCTCAAGTTTGCATTGCTCTCAAATACCCCTATGACCGATTTTATCTTAAAGAAGGAACAATCCCTTGATAATTTTAACCGAGGAAACCAATCCCAGTTTGAGATTAGAAAGGTTCCATCTGATGAGGGTAGGCAAATGGTTGTGAAATTGATAATAAGAAAATCAAACAAGAAGGTACTGTTTGCTGAAGCAAAGGAAGATTTTGTTGACTTTCTTTTTAGTTTTCTCACCTTCCCTTTGGGAGGAGTGTTGCACATGCTTGAAGGATTCTCTTCTTTGAGATGCGTTGATAAATTATATAAGAGTGTGATTGAATTGTGTTCGGACAGATATTTAAGCTCACAGGCACTTAAAGACAAACTGGCTAAGCCTCAGTGTGCCCTGCAATTTAAACTCAGCAACCAAATATTACCAATTGGGGAGGCATGCTTACCAGTGTTTCATTCCTATACTTACACTTACAATCTTAACACTTATGAAGTGAATTCAGAGTTGAAGTTTGTTGATCCCAAGTCCTCTACTGGAGAATTATCAAGTTCTCGAGGATTTGTCAAAGGACCATCAATGTACATGGTGACAGATGACTTGGCTGTGACTCCATTATCATCTATTGCTACCGTTTCATATCTAAATAGATCAAAAGTCTCCCTCTCTGACTTGGAGGAAACGGTCCTTAGCATTGGTTTGAAGGAGGTATGCTGTGTGTGTGACTTCCTTCATCGCATGCTGTTATTTGTATCGAATTACATCACACTTGTTTGATTGCATGTTGCAGGGTCTCAGCATACTAAAAGCTTCATTGACCTCAACATCGGCTTTGACAAACGGTCTCAACCAATATATGGAAACCATCAAGGAGGAGAATTGACCAATTATTTCCATTTTATCTAAAATTATAGAAATCGTCAGTTTTAAAAAAATAATACTCATTTTCTTCCCTGGCTGTTATAAGTTGTTGCTTGAGATTAATTGGAGGAAACTATTTTATCAAATATTTTTGTGTGTTCCATTTCTGAATGCCCATTAGTTTCTTTTCCTTTCTTAATAACTTTTGGGTGTGAATTGCAATTCTTCTCGTTGGTAGAACTCTTTTCTCCAAAAAAATGAACGATACCTGCAGGGTGGTGATTCCACCCTGAATTTACTCAAAAAAAAAAAAAATTATAAAAAAAGAAAAGAACTGAAATGAACGATAGCCACTTTTTTTTTATTTTTTTGGTATAAGAACGATAGCCACTTAACCGACATTGCTATAGGTAGCAATAATAAATAAATATCAAGGACGACATTATAGTACGTGTTTGGTGTGATGTATAAGATCTGATAGTATAAATTTAAATTATATATTATGACAATTTTAGTTATTTGGTGTGACCATTATACAGTATAAGTTTATACAGCAGGATCCCTTTAGGGCCTGTTTGGTGTGACGTATAAGGCATGATAGTATAAGCTTATACTATACGTTATGACATTTTCAGTTGTTTGGTGTGACCATCGTATAGTATAAGCTTATACAACATAATCCCTTAATACATCAAAACGATGTATAACTTAATCCGGCCTAAGGGTGAGGGATAAGGCCTGATAAGAGATTGGTCTATTAACACCGTTGACCAATGTAATTCTCAAAAATTAATATATTATTTTAATATTAATCTATTAAAATAAAAATTAATTTTTCAATATATTAATTCTTAAAAATTTGAATCTTTTTTTTTATAAAAATTAATTTATATTTTGGACACACTGATCAATAAATTTTTATAAAATTTAATATCATATGACATTGTTTGAAGAATTATATAAATTCTTTATTAAATGATATTTTTATTAAAAAAATTTATTTTTATCATATATAGTATTATACAGTGCATTATCAAATACTAGATGATATTATCTTATACAATATATTATTTTATACAATACCGTGCCAAACGCTGGATAGTATTTAAATTCAATCAGGTCTTATACAATCAGACCTTATACTATCTGGTCTTATACTATCAGGCCTTATCCTATACTATGCACCAAACTTGCTCTTATACATCAAAATGATGTATCAATTAATCAGGTCTAGGAGGGTAAGATTAAGTTTGATAAGAGATTGTAGTATTAACCAATGCAATTTTCAATAATTAATATATTATTTTAAGGTTTTAATGTTTCTACCGTGAATGTAGATAAGTTATCCACATTCACTCCCAAAATGATGTCATTTTGGGTTGAAAACTTACAAAATTATAATGAAAAAGTCTATAACCCTGAAATAAATTATAATTATAAAAATACCTCGATTTCCGCCTCAAAATGACTTCGTTTTAGGCTCAATGTAGATAAGTTATCTATATTGACAGTAGAAAAAGCGAACCCCTTATTTTAATATTAATATGTTAAAATAAAAATAATTTTTTAATATATAATTTTTTAAAATATTGGAGATTTTTATTTTTATACTAATTAATATATTTTTTGGACACACTAATCAACAGATTTTTATAAAAATTGATATCACCAGATATATTTGAAAGAATTATATAAATTCATTATTAAAAGATATTTTTGTCAAAAATATTTATTTTTATCCTATCTAGTATTATATAGTGCATTTCCAAACATTGAATGATATTATCTTATACAATATATTATCGTATATAGTATCATGCCAAATGATATGTAGTATTAAAATTTAGGGGTTTACATTTGTTATTTAACATGACACAACAAACTTTCATACACACATAACATTTTGTGGAGCCACACTTTTTAAAGAAAGAAAAAGAGAACAATTACGGCACGCAAAACGAATCTCTGTAACATTAAACAATCACTTTTCCTACAACATAACTCTTATAAAACCATAAAATTTAATATGCTGTTTATCAAGCATGATGTTCTATTGTCTTAACTCAACTGAACAAAGGCATCTCTATCTTTAGTTTGGTAAAATTCTCCTCTTTGGTGGGTTTAAGGAAGTGGCGAAGACCATTTGTCAGAGTAGATGATGAGAGCAGAGACGCTTTCAGAAGACTGAGACCCTGTAGTACCGCCAAATAATAAAAAAAAAATTATCGGTAACATAACGTAAACAAGAAAACGTTAATTTATTAGTTTAGAAATAATTTTGTCTAAGAAAATTGGTTAAGATATTAGAAATTCATGTCTCAATATATATCAGGCTTTACCTCTTTTTTGCCAATGTCGACAACTCTTTCCTCCAAATCAGAGGGAGGAATCCTCAATTGGGTCAGTAAGGAAATGACAGAGAAGGTTGCACTTGGAGTGATGACCAAGTTATCTGTCACCATGTAGAATGATGGCTTCTTGACGAATCCTCTTCCGCCACATCTGCTATATATTTCGCCAGTTGATGACTGCGGCTCTAAATAGCTCAATGGAGCAAATGCAAATGAACTATATTTTCCATAATCTCGTAAATGAGTTAGACAGCAGCTTACATTTCCATTCCTATCTTTTTTGCTGTAACAAGTGTAATCCGGAATAGGCACTTCATCAAACGGTAACATCTGGTTGTTGAGCTTAAATTTGTGTGCAAGTTGAGGTTTAACGAGCTTATCTTTTAAATCGGGGGACCTCAAATATATGCAAGGATCCAAATCAATGATGCTCTTGTATAGATTATCAATGCTGGCCAAGCAAGAGTTCCCATTTAACATATGTTCCACCCCTCCCAAGGGGAAAGTAAAAAAACTAAGAATGAAGTCCACAAAATCAGCTTCAGCTAAAGCAAACAATATCGTGTTGTTTGATTTTCTTAGCATTACCTTTATTTTGGCTTTTTGACCCTTATAACCCTTTATTATTAATTAATTACCGATTTGACCTTAATTATAAACTATTTCAAAAATTTAACCCCCTCAGAAAACATAACATCAATCTGCCCCTGTTTGACCGTTGACCACCAAGCCTACCCGGGTACACCCCTCTGTACCCGGGTATTTTTTGAAAATTTTTGTCTACCCGGGTAGGGAGGCGTGTACCCGGGTATTGTTCTTCGTACCTGAAAAATTGCTTGAATTATTTACCCGGGTAGAGAGGGGTGTACCCGGGTAAATCTTCGACCACCCATTTGGTATTTTTTCTCTCTTTTTTACAGCTAATGAGATAGATCAGTATTATCAAGTTAAGCATGCCTAACCAATTTGAAGAGCTTTTAGCTTTGAGAATGGATTTGGAATTTCCATACATCAACACTTTACTGCTCATCAAAGCGGTCCCTGTTCGTATCGATTATGATGGGGTCTACTTTTATGTACGTCAAAATCGCGCTCCTATATATAAATGTGGTACCGGGTCTATTGGGGAGAGTGAGACGGAAAGAAAATAAAGACAGGGTTCATGGTACAGAAATTTAGTGTGAGCATGCAGCTTTTCATTTTACTGGTAAATGACGAATTATCACGTTCAGGGAAGACATGCATGGGACAAGGTTTGTGGTTGTGGATTTATACTGTTAACTGAGAATTCTCTTTCTGAAATAATCATTGAAAAATATTTGTGTGCTTTACAGACCCAAAAAAGTTGCAGAGGCAGAGCACGTGATAGTCGGTGCCTCCATATTCAAAGCTTGGAGAAGAAGAGTGCATGGGAGATCCAAAGAGTAATCATACCGGGTGGTTGAAGATTTACCCGGGTACACCCCTCTCTACCCGGGTAAATAATTCAAGCAATTTCTCAGGTGCGAAGAACAATACCCGGGTACACGCCTCCCTACCCGGGTAGACAAAAATTTTCAAAAAATACCCGGGTACAGAGGGGTGTACCCGGGTAGGCTTGGTGGTCAACGGTCAAACAGGGGCAGATTGGTGTTATGTTTTTTGAGGGGGTTAAATTTTTGAAATAGTTTATAATCAAGGTCAAATCGGTAATTAATTAATAATAAAGGGTTATAAGGGTAAAAAAGCCTATTTTCATCCTCTGCCCTCCATCGTTACCTTCAACCTCACCAATATCAAAATCCGATACACTCCTTGGTTGTGCATTCTCCATGAACTGTTTCTTCACCAATAATACGTCCGTTAAAGGTGTTTTTGAGATTAAGGAGCGCTTGAGGAGATCCAGTATCTATTAAAATAAACAATTCATTATATTTCACGAAAGAATAAATGGAATTATACGCTTTAAAAATAGTACACACTTAATAGTCACATAAAAAATGGAATAATACCTCATTCTGTGTGATATCAACAGTTACTAGTTTGATTGCATCGAAGTCTTCGTATGCAAGATTTATGGGTAGACAAACTGAATTTTGAAAATCATCAGGCTTCACCTTTAGGTCATCTGAAATGATAAAAGTTGCTGTTTCTGGAACAAACCCTTCATTTGCCGGTGAATTAGGAGGAGATATCACTCCATTCATTAGATCCCCGCATTTGCATCTTTGGTTCTTGAATGTGCTCAACAAGCCACCACTAGGTTGCTGATTGCAGTCCAAGTTCTCACATATGAAGTGCATTTTTCCCTCTGTGTCATCAATATTAAGTTTAAGAGTTTGGCAACAGCTTTCCATTGAGTTCCTTGGCTGAAGCAACATTTCTTTACATGTATCTGTCCAAAAATGCTTTGCCTCAAGATTGGTCACGCTTTCGTACAAAGAGCTTAGGCTTCCAATGCTAACCTTCTTCATGTTTGATTCCTTACACACAAGCCTAGCAATAGTGCCCAACGGCAAGGTTAAGAAACTTAGCAGAACATCCACAAAGTCCTTCCCTGCTTGGACAAACACTACTTTGTTTTTCTTTTCATCTACCAAAACTCCCAGGCTAATTTTTTCCTTGATTGCAGATGCAGCCATGGTAAAACAATTATTAATTCCACATGCATGGTAATAGTTTCTTTCCACAAATATATAGAAATTTCAACTTAGCAAAAACATTAAATGGAAATTCTTGAAAAAAGAAATGTGGTTGAATAGTAATTAATAGCAAAACTCTTGGAATGTTTGAATATGAGAATCAAAGCCCGAAAAGAATAATCAAGCACAGCTTTGTGAATTGAAAGTGAAACGTTGCTATCACTTTAATTAACCGACGAGTGGGATTTATCCTTCCGAAAAATGAAAAATCTCTTCAATAGTTGAGCCGCATCGAGGGTGGATTTCATTTTAACTTTCAATAACTTTCCACTGTCTTTGATTTGTAACTCTTACAATTCTCAATGTTTTGAATGATTATTAATTTTGAAATTATATTTTTGTTAATCCAACAGAGCATTTTATGATTGAGTTAAGAATTAAGATGCTTTAAAAATAGAATTGTGTATTTTTTTCGTTTAAAAAAAAAACAAGAAAATATGTTTATAACTCGTTTGGTGATTTGTTTCCTTCAAATAAATTGATATGGTAAGAATGTACTAATCTTAGATTTTTTGGGTTAAAATTATTATACACTTAATTTCATTGAGTTTAAAGACAAGCACACTTTAGAAATCTTATCCAACAACTTAATCTTTAAAAAATGAAAAATAAAATAATATGAACAAAGGAAAGCCAGAAGAAGAAAATAGGATGTGGAATAAGATATCTAATTGTATACATGTAGTGGCAAGAGGGGCGTAAGGGAAAAGAAAATGGAATAAAAATCAAAGTAAAGGAAACTTCATAGTTGAATGAGGAGGGGCAAAGTCAATTAAAAGAAAGAAGGGGTAATGCAGATATTTGCATAATGTTGTAATGAAGATAATTTGCAAAATTTTATATTAGTTACACAAACATGCTAAGAAAGCCGTGTGAGATGCTGGAGCACACTTTTCACTTATATCATATGTACTCAAAGCATGAGAGCTAATAAGGATCAAAGGGTATGGTATAGCCGTATAGGCTTACAAAAACAAGTGAAAAGAAAAATAAAGACTTGATTCAAGTTAGATCCATAAAGACTTCATTCAACTTAGATCCATTAAGGATGAAAAGTAAAAAGCTTATAGTAAGATATGTAGAATTGAAAAAAAGTGGACAAGCTATTTTAACAAAATTCTAATCGGGGGAGCAACAGAAATGAGGTGGATTTGAAGAATGTTTTTGATGATTTAAATAGAAAGTTCGTATAAAAAATTAGAGTGTATGAAGTTAAGGATACATTAAGGAAGATAAGGCTGGTTAAGCTTTTGCTCCCAACAGTGTTTATGTTACATAACTATGTCACTAATGAGAGCTACTATTTAATTAAAACATTTAGTTGACACCAACATAACATCATCAACATCAACATCAACATCAACAATACATATATTCCACATTAGTTGAAGTCAGTAGTATATAAACTCAAATAAAAAAATACAAAAAATTAAAGGAAAAAAAGGATAAGAATAAAATTTCTAAAAAAAATAGAAGTAACACTAGAAATTAAAAAATAGCAATTAACAATTAAAAAGAATAACAAAATAAAAAAGTGAAAAATATATAAAAGTAAAAAGAAAAAATAATAAATAAATAAGAGAAGAAAAATATAAAAATAAAGTAATAGGTAAAGAAAGAAATAAAGGGATCCACAAAAAAAAAGGGGAAAACCCTAAAAATGAAACATATAGTACATAGAAATAAAAAGGGTCTAATACTCTATAATGCTAATAGTTTTTCTCTCATTCGTCCTAAGACACAACATCCATCAATTTATATCATAATTCATTAAGTTTTAAATTACTATCTTCTCTTAAGTAAATTTTGGCCAAGCTCTTTCTCTCTTTATGTCAAGCTCTTGGTAACAAATTTCTATCTTTACATAAGCATCTAGATGTCTTCACATCATATACCAAAATTACTTCAGTCTATATTCTCTTATCTTTTCAACCACCAATATTACTTCTAATAAGAATAATAATAGTAAGAAAGTTTAAAAAAAGAGTACCAATATAAAATTTAAAGACAAATGAACTAAATACAAATTGAAACATGAAGAACAAAACTTTCAAGGAAACTAAAACAATTTAGAAATCACATAAATTTAACAATATTTGTTAGTTTAACATTGTTATACAATAAGACTTTAATAGGCTTCGTGTGTGATATTAATGGGGTTCATGATTGGAATACAATATTAAAGTTAGATCCATACATTTCACTCTAAGAATGACATTCATCTTCCTTATACAATGAAGAAATTTCAATAATGTTGATACAAAATTAATCATAATACTTCATCTTTAATTGTGATAACCAACTTTCTCACAATTGACATACATAACCTAAATACAAATATCACAAACAAACAAAATTCAAATCACATCTTAAAAATGATTTGGTGAAAGAAAAAAAATTAATGAACATTTGAAAAAGAAATAAGGGTAAAATACATTTGAGAAAATAATGTATTTGAAAATAACAAAAAATGAAGTATTGATCTTTTTTATTCCAAGGTAGTAACTATGGACTAGGACCCTAAACAGGCCCAGGCCTAGGCTCAAATAGATGTTGTCTGACCAGGACTTGCTTCCAATCCGTCAATGGAATGCTTTTTTGGTGCATTAGATGTACCATACATCTGTCCAAAAAAAATAAAAATTTGGGATTTGATGGAAAATACTTAAAAATATATGGATTCAATAGGAAAAAACTTTCTTTTTTTCGAAAATGATGTACCCAGTTACGTACATCTAATGTAGACAAGAAATTTCCCCGTCTATAAAATGAACAACTAGGAGTTATACATAGATCTGTCATCAAACCCGAAGGGAAACAAAGCTAAGGTCATCCTGGATAACATAAAAAGAGTAGTCATCGAGCATTTGTTGACTACTGATTTCTCCACCTCCAACAATCAAGCAAAATATGAAGCATTGATAGTTGGGCTGATTTAAACTGAGAAACTCAGAGCAGACAAGCTATTCATTTATCATGACTCTCAACTCATCACTTCCAAGATAAAAAAATTAGTACCAAGCCCGATACCCCTTGATGACCAAATAGTTGGCAAAAGTAAAAAAGCTAATAGATGATTTCGCTAAGGTTTAAGTGCAACATATGACCTGTAACACCTCGTAGTACTCCGGTGTGTTATCATTACGTATGATCTGAAGCGCAATTACAATCAGAACAGTTTAATTAAAACACGGCTAAACTTTTTCATTTTTAAGCGTTGCATATTCCATTAACAATTATTACTGCATTCAAATTAAACTGAAATCGTAATTGTAACACAGTGACATTGCAGAATGATTAATTCTAGCTTAAAAATATCATACTAGTCCCTTTAAACACAAATATGGGATTCTCATACACCCCACAACACAATGCTTAGTTCTCAGCAAATTGGGTAGCTGATTAGGATCCTCGCTGAAGCGAGCTCCCCAGCGAGCAAATTAAATCCCCATATAATAGCTACTAGCCAGGTGCTCTGTTTTCTCACTCTTCAACTCGTTGAAGTGAGAACTTTAGCGAGAAGTCCCCTGCCTTAGCCGAGCTTCTGTCTCAGTTTTTGCTTCATGGCTCATTTATTCTATGGCTCACTCCACATATGGTTGGCACACCACTTGGGTACCTAATAGACATGGAATGGCAAGACCTATCCCAATAAACTAGGGTGCTCTTATGTAACACCCCGTGTATACCCGGTTTGTTAACATGTCATCGTATTAAGCCACGCTTAATTAAAATGCAGAATATTCTTTTTCTTTTCAATTATGACGTCATTATCAATTACCAACTTGATTACTTAATCATTTCAAAACATCGCCTGTATGTAAATTGCAAATAGACAGCTAACTGAAATACCTTATAAATATATATGACATAAATGTGTCTCTAGCCAGGGAACTACAACACGTAGACCGGACAAACCTTGATAGTTTATACAACTCAACAATAACATACTAATCATCAATGTGGCATGAACAAACCCCATGCTCACCAAATAAGGCAATAAAGCCCACAAAAAGTCTCAGCTCAATGATCATATAATGACAGAAAACATAAAAGCATCCAATATCCAGTCATGTCAGCATACAGCATATATAAATCAACTAAGCTCCGGCCTCTTGCCGCCAGAGGCATCAGCCCCCAAGTTACCTGAACCTGAAATAAGCGCCCCAAATGTGGGGTGAGATCTCTAAACAGAAATCTCAGTAAGACAAGGGGTACTCAATCTTCCACCCCAAGCTCACTTACATGTGCAATATAAGTTCTAAAAGCAGTAATTCAACATCAGTTCCAAAACCAGTGCAATGCAGCAGATAATCATGTCATGTGCGTTATAACTATTCTACTGATCAGAGAAGTGCAGGAATACGTCTATTACCCACACAGTACACGTCCATGATGTACCTGTCCACAGGATTACAGCCCGTCTAGGCTTACACCACATACATATCATAAGGCATTTGCACTTAACAACTCAATAGCATTTCAATAAAACAATACATGAAAACACATCATGCATATAAACCATCCCCCCATGGATATGGTGGAACAAACAATGGCTAAATCGAGGACACGAAACCTTACCTTGCAAGCTAGTTATCCAAGCCAAGAGTCCACACAAGCTCAAAGTCCACACACAGCACAATCACAATCTGTCTGGACCAGCAATCATATCAATAATCATCCTCAACAAGTATACCATATAAAGACAACGACTTTCCTTTGTGTTTCATGTCTTTAGGCTTCTCCCAAAGCAACAAGCCCTTAATCACTTGATTCTGACTTAGTTTAATCATTACAGAAGTCTCACTTCATCAATCTAGGGTCCACAAACCCAAAACACAAATCTGTATGAACAGTGCAGCTACTGTTCTTCGAAAACCCAGAATATCCGGATATTTGTCGGGGATGTATCCGGATATCATTATCCGGATATCCAAAGT